CCTGGGACCGGGGCATCGAGGCCCTTCCCACCCAGCTCCCTCCGGCCTCAACCGCGCCGGCGAGTGGGTAATCGGGCCTCATCCTCCCGGGGTGCGGCCCCGGCCCTGGAAGCGGGTGGGCGCTGGCCCCCGGCTCCGGCCCGCAGCGAAGGCACAGGGTCTCCAGGGACGCTGTGCGCCTCGGGCCCGGGCTGGAGAGATTCCCAGTGTGGGCTCCACCTGAGTCCCTCTCCCAGGCTCAGCGCAGCCGGGGCCGGGGGAGCGCAGCCGGAGGCCGTCCCTTCCCGGTTCCCCCGGTTTGATGCGCGGCGGGGCTGGGCGTGTCCATCGGTCCCGCCGGCCGCAGGGCGCTCGGGCGGGCGCGCGGCGGGGCCTCCTGACCCCACGCGCCCTGCATCTCCGCGGCCCTTCTGTCCTCGCAGAAACCAAACACCATGTGCGACGAAGACGAGACCACCGCCCTCGTGTGCGACAACGGCTCCGGCCTGGTGAAAGCTGGCTTCGCCGGCGACGACGCCCCCAGGGCCGTGTTCCCCTCCATCGTGGGCCGCCCGCGCCACCAGGTCAGGCTGCGCCTCGGCGGAGGGGGCTGGGCCGGGGTCCCCGCGGGGGCCCAGCCGCGCGCGCGCCGCCCGGGAGTCCAGGCGACTGAGGGGCGCTGAGCGCTCGGTGTCTCCGCTCCGCAGGGCGTCATGGTGGGCATGGGGCAGAAGGACTCCTACGTGGGCGACGAGGCGCAGAGCAAGAGGGGTATCCTGACCCTCAAGTACCCCATCGAGCACGGCATCATCACCAACTGGGACGACATGGAGAAGATCTGGCACCACACCTTCTACAACGAGCTGCGCGTGGCCCCCGAGGAGCACCCCACGCTGCTCACCGAGGCGCCCCTGAACCCCAAGGCCAACCGGGAGAAGATGACCCAGATCATGTTTGAGACCTTCAACGTGCCCGCCATGTACGTGGCTATCCAGGCCGTGCTGTCCCTCTACGCCTCCGGCCGTACCACCGGTGAGTGCCCGCTCCCCGCCCCCCAGTG